ATAATATTGGAATGTGCATCAGGGAGAGTATCTGTACTCTTTTTCTTTCGATCAAGTTTCTTCCCACTGAATTTTCTTGACAACATTTTAATGAAGCAGCAGTTTCTTTATACTCCAAAATATTAACAATTAATTATACTCTTTTTTTTTCCTTTATTCGATTTTTTCCCACTGAGTTTTTATCAAATAGAGGTTTTAACGAGGCAGTTATTGTACAAATAATCATCAAAGGGGGAGTATTGTAAAATAATGAGATAATTATAGATGATTATTTAGTGTTATCATGATACAAGGATAAGCTTTATCTAGTGTAGAAAGTGTATTTTATTCCAATTACAACTCTCATTTTAAATACTATAAATACATGACTTGATTCGCAATAAAAGTACACTTGATTTTTAACTCTTATATTTTATATTCTTCTTGTTCTATTACTTTTATTTTATAACAATAATATAGTTTTAAAAATATTGTAATATATATTTTACATAATTAACACTTGATTTTTTAAGAAAATTCTTAATAATTTGATTAATGATAATTTAATCTTAAAAGATGGTTTTGCTTAAGTGAAAATTACACAAAATCAGAATTTTCAAGATTCAATTTCAAATTGTAGACATAAGGTTTCAATTTTCAAAAATCAGATATTTAATCCCAAACCCTAATCAATTTCATCACAACCCAATTTTCTTTCTCCATCATTCTCTATTTTCTACCGTCTTCTCTCTTCTCACTCTCTCCTCTCTTATCTTCTCATTCTCTCTTCCTCTTCCCCGACGAAAGTGGAATCTGGTGGACAACCGTGTGTTGTCGTGCGCAGCGCCAGATCATCGCTGCAGTGCAGATTGTCGAGCGACGCGGCACCACTGTGGCTTCTTCTTCTGGCAGTGAATGGTGGTGGTAGGTTTGGTGTTTGTGTTGGCGGTGGTTGGCGTGGCGTGGCGTGGCGATCAATATGTTGGATGTTTCGATTGGCTATGCGAATTGATGTTGTTGATCATAGTTTTGATTCGGCAGGTAGGGAACTTTGGGGATAGAAAGGCTAAGGCTAATCGGTGATGTTGATTTGAGGGGTCAGAGCTGTGTTGTGGGTACGGTTATGGTGATGTGTGTTGTGGGTGCGATGTTGTGTACGGTATTGTGGTTAGGTGCAGTGTTGTGTGCGGTGGTTGTGTGCGTTGGTAGTGCAATGATGTATGATGTAGGTGCAGTGTGCTATGTACGGCGGTGTGGTGGTGGCTCTGGCGTTGTGCAGTGGTGCTGACAGGTTGTTGTGAGGTGGTGATGTTTTTATGCGACATGTTGATTTGTTTGAGATGGCGTTGCTGTCGAGAGGTAGTGGTGGTTCTAGCGGCAACGGTGGTGGTGGCAGTGGTGATGGGAGTGGTGAAGTGGTGGTCACAGATTATTTGGTTGTTTGTTACCATTAAATTGATTAATCTATGATCAATGAACAATATTCAACCAATAAAAAAGATAAATTGTAACAAAAAATAATGTGTGACCTAAAAAATTATTAATTTGTGACTGTCTAATAAGTTGTAACTTATAATATTTGTGATTTGTGACCTATAAATAAATTGTGATATTTCAATTTTTGATTTGTTACCAATGAACAAATTTTGGCCTATGCAATTTTTGAATTGTGAGGTTAAAATATTTTGTGATATATAAAATTTGTGATTTGTGACCAATGAATAATATGTAACTTATTAATTTTATAAATTTGTGATCGATGAAAAAATTATGACCTAAAAAATTTTTGATTTGTGATTGTGAAAAAATTTATGACTTATAAAATTTTTTATTGTGACCAATTAATTTATAATTCGTGATCAAATTATATGGAATTGTGACCTTATTATATTCAATTAATAAAATATATATTTAATTAATTAATTTATAAATAAAATTTGAAAAAATCACATTTGAAATTTTAAACCTTATATCTTAAATTTGAAATTGGTGAAACTTAGGCCCTATTTGAGCCACATTATTTTTTCATTCTAATTCTTCTACTCATTTTTAACCACACATTTTTCAATAAAATAATATTTTCCATCACATCAATAATTTTTCCTTCTTTTTTAATCACATTTTATCCGTCACATCAACAATAAAAAGACATTCTTTTTCCAAAAATGTGCACTAAACGGGGGCTTAATGTCTTATTTATGAATTTTTGCCTTTACTTAATTTCCTCCTCTGAAGATTTTAGAGATACTTACAAAAATACCCTTAAAATTAGGGGTGTTTTGAAAAATCATGTGAAAGGTTTTTACGAAGTAAAAAATACTGTGTAAAATAAAAAAGTGACACAATGTCATTTTTTTAAATAAAAATTGTCACTTTTTTTAAAAAATACAGAAATTCAAAAAAAGTGACAAAACTAAAAAACAGTGACAAATATCAAAATAGCACCATTCATTTGTGCAGCACCAGTAATTGACAAAATAAAAAAAAAAGTGACAAGTTCAAAAAAGTGACGAAAATGAAAAAAAAAAGTGACACAAATTACAAAAAAAAAAGGTAACAAACAATTAAAAGTGACGAAATTAAAAAAAAAGGTGACAACAATAAAATTCAATGACATTTAACTCAATGCAGAAAGATATGCATTGCCAATTGAGACATTCTACCATATAGCATTAGCTTCACACATACAATTTTAACCGATTCATACCCAATAATTAGCATATTCAGTAGGTGAATGATACAGTCATCCATTCATTGAGACCATTCAGCCTAACAAGTGCCAATAGTATTACCAAAATGAATGAAAACAACGAATTTCTACAACGAATTAACAATGTCAATCAACACCGCCTCATCCGACGCAAAAATGAAAATCAACTGCCAAGCTTTGGATTATCCGCTAGGAATCATATTCAAGGAATAATTGATGACAACCATTTGCAACACCAAAGGGAAGTCGTCCATCAGTGCCACCAACTCTGCATCCTTGACTGAAAAACGTCTCATTACCCTCTTCACGAAAGCACCCACCAAAACTCCTTCACTATCTCTAATCACATCTTGATGACAACCATTTGAAACACGAAAGAGAAGTCCTCCATCAGCGCCACCACCTCTGCATCCTTGATTGAAAAATGCCCCACCACCCTCTTCACGAAACCACCCAACAAAACTCCCTCACTATCTCTAATCATCACAATACCCCAATAACCCCCGTCACCCACCCTCACAACAGCATCAGTGTTTGCTCTTTTCTGTTTTTTTCTCGAAATCTTTCTTCGCATCCTCCTTCGGAAGTAAATCAGACTCCATCATTCTCCTTTGGGAATGAAGGTGTCTCGGAGTTTTCTCATTCACGAGCTTCCTCCTCCTAATTTGGGTTTTCTGTATTTTGAGGTTTGGAAGTAATTCTACAGCCCGCCGATGGTGTCGACGGAAGGAAGGCGGCGCCGTGTCAATGGCTCAAAAAGGTGATAGTGAGAGGCTGATGGCCGTGCACTGCCTTCGTCCGTTCGCACCACCAATTAAAACCGTGAACTGCCTTCATTCGTTTGTGGTCTGTAGTATATTGGGAGATTTTGGATTTTTGTTTCGGTTTAGGAAGTAATTAATACGGGGTTTATGTGATGTTTAATTAACTTACGGTATTAATCAAATTGGGTTACTTTTTAGAGCATTGGACCTAATTTCCTCAAGATTTTATGATCCATTAAGGAAGTATTTAGCCCACTAAGAGCAAAAGTCCGGCCCACAGGTTTTATCCCTTTGGAAGAGCAAAGAATCTACAAGTGCTGATTGTAATATTGACGGAAGGAGGACGAGCGTCGAAAGCTAACAGGAAGGGATTCAGGGAATTCAGATTTTTATTCCACAAATTGCGCCGATAGTACGTATATTGATAATGATAGAAATTTCTGATGATTTTCTTCCACATTTTGATTGTTAATTTCTTCATATCTGATTTGTTTCATATCCTTCGTATTTTTTTCACTGTACTATGGTCCATGTCGATATGTGGAGGAAAATGGGCATTCACAAGTTAGGGATTTAAGGAGTTTAACCCCCACTTCTATTTGATCGCTCTCCATTGGAAGGATCCTTTAATTATAGATTTCTTTTTTTTTCCTTGCTTTTACAAGCTGTTGAACATGTCTGACTTGCTTTTAATGAATTTATTTTGTTTTTATTAAAGTTCTTGGTTCCTATAATAGGAAGTTTCAATGCACATGCCTGCATGATCTAATTTTTTCTTCATCTCCCCATGGGCAAAAAGCTCTCCCTCCCCCTTTGTGTTCCTTATCTTTCTCATACATAAATCTTAGAATTAACTAACTTTTTTTCCCTGGTATAAAAGATATAAAGATACGAAGTTTTTGGATGGGAATAATTGAGAAGTTGTGTGATTATAGTCTGTGTGTAGGCGGTATAGCTGAGTTAACCTCTTCTATTCTTATGAAATTTTTGGACTTTTACCTAATAAAAACTATAGAAAGCAAGATTTTTGGCTGTTGAAATATATACAAGCAGTTTTATATATTCTTCTGCTTAATTTGTGTTTGTTTATGGAGTTAATTCTTTTGAATGCGGTAAATATCTGGATTAGGTATGAATAGAATAAAACTAAAAAGTCAATTGGAAAATGAGTTTCGTTATGAATACTTTCGATCTAAGACTTCTGTTGAATAAATGACTTTGTATTGATTGATTTTTCTTGAGTGAGAAAAACAACGTCTGTTTTGTATTAAAAACAAGGAATTATTAGTACAAACTGTTGTTGATGCAATCTCTAGGCTGTACATTACTGTCATTTTCTTTAATACAGCAATATTTTGTGTTTTTTTGCCTCTGAGTATGTATATTTTAGCAAATTACGATTCTCCTATGGCAGAATAGTAATGGACCGGGAAGCACCAGATCAGAGACACCCGAGAACTGAGTGGGCTGATGTGACACCGATCCCGCAAGATGATGGCCCAAACCCAGTGGTGCCAATTGCTTACACAGATGAGTTCAGGGAGACCATGGACTACTTCAGAGCTGTCTACTTAGCTGACGAGCGCTCACCTCGTGCCCTCAAACTCACCACTGAAGCCATACATCTTAATGCTGGGAATTACACTGTAATATTTTTTTCTTGTTCTTTTCTCTTTATATTTATCTTTCTTCTCCAAGTGAGAGTAATAATTTTGTCAATCCTGACATGTGAATACATTCCTCCCTTTTTTGTTTTCTCTGATGGTACCTATATATTTCCCCTGGGAAGGTTCAAGAATTGTTGTAGTGTGTATTATAAATCGTGGAGTTAACAACATTTTGGGACTTCATGAATACATACCCAATGAGTAAGTGATTTTTTTTTTGTTTTTAATCTTCGTGTTCTAACAGTGCAAGTGCAACTTAGAGAGCATTAATACGAAACTAGTTTAAGATCAAACTTTTTGTCAATTTAGATTTTAGTTAGATTTTAGTTAAAAATGCTGAAGGTTCCTAAAGCATTACGTGCTGCAGAATTCTAGATGTTGATATAGAGGTTCTGACTTCATCTTTACAGATCCTTTGAACATTAATCGAATATATATTCGTGGTTGTGACTTTAATTGTATATTTGATTAGATGGGAAAATACAGATTGGGAAGCTTGATGTACCACACCCTCTCCATTATATTTCTTGTCACTGCAAGGAATATCCCGTCACCAAAACCTTGGATATAGAGAGGAGTTTTTTACTGTACAGTTAATTGACTAGTTCTGACTTCAATGTATTCTTGGATCCCGTTGGCACATGAATATAAAGCACTTGCATTCTTCTATTTCAGGTATGGCAATTCAGGCGTCTTATACTTGAGACACTTCATGTTGATTTGCATGACGAATTGGATTTTGTTGGGGAACTTGCCAGAGACAATACTAAAAACTATCAAATATGGTAAGTTACATTGTGGACGGATATATTTTATTTATCTAATTATTCTGATGCATCAAAATGGATTGTCTTTCGACGGATGCTTAACTTCTAAGACCTAAATATCTACCTTGTATATATAATTTTTAGTATCAAAGTTGCACGATAATTAGACTTGTTGAGGTTTGAAAGGCTACATTAGGTTTGATTACAGAATGGTTATTTTTGGGTTGAACTTTTTCGATGATTATGAGCTTCGTTCACAGTATGAATTAGAAAAGGATATTTCCAGCCACTTGAATGCAGTTGAAGTTCTGCTTATCATAAGAATAAAATGGTCTTCCAACCAGGTAAACCAAGAAGTAATTGGCAAATTGACGTATACAATTGAAGAAAAAGTTGTCGAAGGTTCGTGTAGTGTACAAACTGTGGGCCCTAAACACATCTATCTTCAGTTGATAAGTCCGTGATTGATTTTTCTGTCTGTTGACACGAAATGTTTTGTGTTGCTTTTAATGCATGAGTAATAAACTTCTTGTTGTGGATTCCAATGCAGCATGTGGATCTTAAAGCAGCAATCTTCTTGTTTTCTTGTTTATTGCCATGTTAACTCGTGGTATAAATATATGTTCTCCATATACTTATCTATAATGAGGATTATCTATAATGAGGATGATTACATTCTTTATTCTTTGTTTCTTTATTTTAGAGTTCACAATCAGGCAACTATGAAAATTAATCAATATGATTTTAGGCATCATAGACGGTGGGTTGCTGAGAAGCTTGGAACTAATGCTACAAGCAAGGAACTTGAATTCACTCAGGAAATTTTCTCCGAGGATGCAAAGAACTATCATGCCTGGTCCCATAGACAGGTAGACTGGAGTTCACCTTCTTCTTTTTAGAGGAGAAAACCATTTTCAAATTTGTGTGGTTTATGGAATTTCCCCTAAATATGGCAGAAGATTTCGATTCTTCCACATTTTTTCTGCATGTCCAAGCAGATCTGTTTATTCAGTGCAAGAGTTTTTGACGACATTTCTTTATGCAGTGGGTTCTTCAGACACTTGGAGGATGGGAAGATGAACTTGAATACTGTGATAAACTCCTTCGAGATGACATATTTAATAACTCTGCTTGGAATCAGGTACCATCAGTAGATTTACTATGACCAAAATCTTAACTACCGATTCAATGTAAAGTGTCATCATGAGTGCATAATGTGTTGTGAATATATATTTTTTAATGAAAAAGTTAGGATTGGCCATCCATCCTAACTTTGAAGTATCTCACCTTTACGATTTAAGGCTATTTAAACCAACCACCTAGGCAAGGCTATCACAGAATCTGGATAAAGCTTGAAAAGCTATGTGAAGTCATAATTTCTCTCTCTGTTATTATTACACTATTATTTATATCTTCATGCCATTTCAGCCCAAAATTGGAGGTGACCAAGAGAAGGAACAATAAAGCCTTGTCTCCAATAAATTTGGGCTGGCTACATGAACCCCTTTTTGCCACTCTCATCAGTTCAATGCTAGATGTATTGAAAGATTCAAAGCAACGAGTTACTTTCCATTCACATCATACTTCTGAATTCAACACTTCTTAGACTTCAAATTTTCAAAATGGCAGACATAGACATGTAAAATTAGCCAGTAATTCCAAAACTTGGACCATTCTTTGAATTTATTTAAATGATAGAGTCTACCAGTAGCTCAGTTCTTAGAGAACTTTCAGAGCTTTGGGAGCTTTTAGGTTACATGTGATGCAGCCAAGATGTTTGATTTGGTGCGTAAAGTTTCTTCTACTCTTCTTTTATTCTTCTTGTCATCTTCATTTTTCTTGGAACCTTAATGTGCATTAGTCCTTTCAAATTACAAAATAACCAATAGAGCCAAGATTTTTGTGACTGTGTCTTGAGGTACTGTCAACCAGCCTTAAGAATAGCCTCTGTTTTATCTTTTCCTTCAATTTTTCTGTAAGTTTTACCACTGCCCTTTCCTTACCCATATTGTGCTGTTAATGCTTTCACTTTTTCTGCCCTCAAATCCTATTAGTTTCCCAATCCATAGTCAATTTTGTTGTTTGTTCACTATTCAAAACTCTGACGTTATCTTCTTTCGACCAATCCAAAGGTAAAAGGGAAAAGAGCGAAAATTGAAAACTAAAGCAACTTGCAAAATATTAAAAAATAAAAATAAAAAGAAAAAAAGAAATGGAGGCATATCAAAGTTCATTGGGAAGTTTCCAACCTAGATAGTTTCTATGAGTTGGATTAGTCTGCAACTTGAATGTATGATATTTTACTCTGTGTAATCAAATGGTATAATTTTTTAATATTTATATATGCCGGCGGCTTTTTGAAATGGATAAGTTAGGAATTTTTCTTGTTCATAGATCTTGAATCAGATCAATAATATTCATTTCTTAATAGATTTATCTATATATTGATGAAACATAACTCTTTGTTGATCTATGGTGATGCATAATTATGGCTCTCCCACTTGTAGTTGCTCTTGCTGTACATGACTTTGTATGATATGCTTTGTTGATTATGATTCCAGCAAGACTATGATGTCACAAATTTCTGAATCGGTTTCTTGAATTATCTATATTCTCAATATCCATTTTATAAAAAATCTTATATTAAAAATTTATAATACTTCATTTTCCCATATTTTGTAAATTATCTGTTCACAGAGATACTTTGTTGTGACAAGATCTCCCGTCCTGGGAGGGTTGGAGGCCATGAGGGATTCTGAAGTAGCTTATGCTATAAAAGCCATTTTAGCCAAACCCGAGAATGAAAGTCCTTGGAGATACCTTAGAGGCCTTTACAAAGACGACATGCAATCTCTGGTTAAAGATCCCCGGGTAGCATCTGTTTGTTTGGATGTTTTGATGAATAAAAGAGATTGTGTACATGCTCTCAACATGGTTTTGGATCTTCTCTGCCATGGTTATGAACCAAGCAAAACTTTGGAAAATGCGATTGATGCTCTATGTCTGGACTCTGGTGTCTCTGACTCAGGGTTAACCGAGAGAGTTTGTTCGGTTTTGCAAGTTGTGGATCGGATGAGGACAAATTATTGGAAATGGCGCAAGAGCGTGGTTCCCGTTTGAGCAGTTCAAGGATCGAATGGTAAAGAATTGGCTAGTTAAAAAAAATGTGGAGAAAAGGGGAAGTTTACTTTTACTTGAATATTTCTAAATTTGCAAATCAAAAACAAAATATATTCTTGGCTTTTTTTTCTTTTATGTTTCCTTAGGATTACTTCAGACAGTGAGAAAGTTGCAGTGGATGTCCCTAACTTTTGCAGTGTGTATAAACAGGTCATCAACCTCTAAATCTTCACACCATCCTCAATCTTTCATAGTTGTTTAGAATCAGTCCTTATGAACGATTCCGTACAAAATGATTTTAAATGAGCGTGCAAGTATCCTCGGTCGAGCCTAGTTGGACCAACACAACATTTTAAACTGGTAAAATTGTATACAATCAATAGAGAATTTTGCTCAAAAACAAAAACTGTGTGACATTGTACAAAAACAACATATCAGAAGAGGAAATTAAAAGAATTGGAAGTTGAATCCAGATTTGATAATTATTTTGTGGAAGTAGGATTGATCTGTAGATGAGAAAGCGATTAAGAAAGAATGTCAATACAAAATTAACCTAAATATTGGGCAAGTTCAGAGGTTTCAATTAAATTACTATTACATTTTGATTAATGTTATGTAGCACCACAACTTTAGTGGAGCTACATAACATTAGTCTTATATTTTTGTTGACAGATGATGGAGTGGCATACATTTTTCCTTCTTGCCACCTATTTATTTATGAAACTTTTTATTAAACTAACTGTACATGTTGCAAAATTGTTAGAGATATTGCGGAAGACGTGTTCAGTATTTATTAGGTAATATGAAAATTTAGTATTTTTAAAATTTTGGAGTACAAAATAAATAAATAAATAAATTGTGTAATAATTTTAACATGAATTTTACTACATGTATATTCTTATGTACATCTAGCATTACATCCCCCTATGAGAGAGAGTGACAGTGCATTGATGTAATTTCAAAATTCAAAATTAATAGTGTAGATGATGCATATGGTAGAATGTAAAAAACGATGTCAAATGTAATGTACATGTAGCATGCTCTTTTAAGATTGAGCCACACACTTGACTAGAAAGCATTTATAAGAAAATCTAGACATTGAGGAAAATCTAAAGGGTAATGCTACATGTACACACACACTTTTACACAATCTTTTACACCTCTCTCACATGGAGGGGGGTCCACGATTATTTTATTATGTGTGGGCCCCCTTCCATGTGAGAGATGTGTAAAAGATTGTGTAAAAAATTGTGTACACTTAGCATTATTCAAATCTAAAACTATATTCAGATTAGGAGTCTCATTCTATCTATGTTCTTCCATTTGAAGAAATGATGAATTTTGAAGAATCGATTTTTCTTTTAATTATTGGATTTCTATTTGATTGATGAAAGTGTGATTTTAAGCCCCTGTCTATGAACGATTGTGGTGGAGAAAAATTGATTTTAGTGTCAAGTCACGGTCCCCACCATGTGTGAAATTAAATCTGCTTCATTGCCAACTTTAAAACAATGGACGACTTCCAACAATCCAAAAAAGTCATAATCACCTCTTATTGCGTTTGGAAATGAATGAAAACGAGGGTAAATGTGGCAAATGATCAAACAGTGAATTATAGACCCTGCAATTGTCTGGAAAGGAGTCAGATTCTTTGTTGGAATAAAGAATTTGACAGCCAACGGTCCCCTATTAATTCAAATCTATTCATTCCCAGACATGGACTGTCCTTGTAAAAAGAAAAACAGTAGAGTGCCTTAAAAACTTGAACCGTGCTACACTGTCAGGCCTGTAAAAGGCCTGGCAATGCAAATGTGAGGTGAGGGGTGCGAGTTTAAACATTTTGGGAGGTTTTTTTAATGAGGTGGGTCATGTGAGAGCTTTTGCTCTACCAGGCCTTTTACAGGCCTGGTAGAGCAGATTAATTCTAAAAACTTTGTTGAAAATGTGCACTTCTTTGATCGTCTTTATGGCCAAAATAATGCATTTTTCTGTCACATCTACTGGGCCCCAGTGTACTCGCCTAGTTGACCGAAATGTGTAGAATAATTTTTTTCTACCCTTTTTACCCCTTTTTTGTTGTTTGTGATACAATTGTACAACCTGGCAACTACTATGTTTGCAACCAATGGAGATGAGGGCAAAAATGGAAATATTGTGTACAAAAAATTCGAAATTATACAGTAACTTGTACTATCTTTGTTAGATGAAATAGATATAAAATAGTCATCAATGCCCCCCGGGGCACATCCGAATTGGTAAATGATGGGCATTGTTGGGCTTGCAACCTTAGGGTGGGGAGTTCGAATCCTGGATGGAGCAGCTGAGTGTTGTAATACTCAATTTGGGCGGAGCAGCTTGGTGATGTAATATCCATGGAGGAAGACTCCTTTGGGGCCAAGAGTATAAAGGATGCACGGACCCTGATCAACTTGGACATATTCCATGGTTAAGCTCCACCCATCACTGAAGAGTCAGAGATTGGTGATCCAGGACATAGTCTGGTGTAAGTTGAGATACTTGGATATAAAAAAAAAAAAA